TGAACTAATGAGGCTCTTGATGATCGTCATCTTGATCTGCCCTCTCTTTGGTGGGAAACTCTGCTCCCGCTTCCTCAACGACCCGTTTACCATTTTCACCGAGAGAGAAATGGAAACAGAGTTTGACTGCTTCAGTTTAAAGAGGAAAAACAGGGGAAGAGTTGGGATTCCTTGTGTGGTGTTTTGATGACCAAGAAATGGTGGGGGAGATTGGTTTGCCTTTATATAGAGATCCTTTCTTGGTCAAGCGGCTGAGGTAATTGCTTGCTTAACAAGTTCATGAACCAGTCTGAGTCAGGAGGAAAGACTCTGGAGGAGAGTGCTAATTACGAATTAATTCGTTGTAATTATCATGTTAATTGAACTGATGATATTAGGGATGACGATGGTTATCGTTTAAGACAAAATCACTAAACTAATCAAATGCTTAATGATGCTGTTTTGTTGGTGGGGCCCATTTGATAGCAACTCTGATTCGTGATATGCCAATACGCCATGTCCTCTACGGCTCTACTCCAATCAGTTAATGACAAAGAAATATATTGTTAGATTAAGGTGGGTGGGTATAAATAAATTCAATTGATTGCACTATTTGTTGCCACATTTTATATAGTGTATAATATTACTATCATACTTTTGGACTTTGCTACGGTGACATGCATGTCACGGTAACATGCACTTTTCGGTCGACCTCATATAGGATCAGGTCGACCTAATCAGTTGTTTCAGTGTACAAACAGTTTCATGGTGCCTACTTTGGAGATTCATATCTTACAATTGGCTAGATGGAAATTGGAGATTAAAGGCTTGTTTTGAAGCTGAAGTGTCCCTCTACATATTAAAGTACTTGGGAGCTCAATAGAAAGTCCAGAAGACCATTTTTGAACCTGACCAAAAGGCTATGCCAAAACTGGGAAACTGCCTGAAAATGGCTAAGTCTGGCAACGTGTTTGTCAAGCCTACTTTGGAGCTCAATTTGACAAGCATGGATGCGAGTCAAGTCGAAGGACCTTTACCACGTTAAATTACGTATTTTTTTATACAAAGGCAAGGCATTGAATGAAATATTGAATATCTTTAAGGCTTCAAACAAAAGGCTCGAATTTGCTACGAAGGCTGTTTTTCTGGCAGCTTGCTTGTGCTCGAAGTCTGCCAGAAAAACAGCCTTCGTAGCAACTTCGACCCTTTTGTTTGAAGTTTTAAAGATATCCAATCTTTCATCCAATTCCTTGAATTTGTATAAAACATACCTAATTTAACATGGTAGAGGCTCCTGGACTCGACTCGCATTCATGCTTCTCGAATTGAGCTCAAAAATAGGCTTCACAAACACGTTTCCAGACTTAGCCATTTCTAGGCAGTTTCCCAGTTTTGGCATAGCCTTTTGATGAGGTTCAAAAATGGTCTTCTGGACTTCCTATCGAGCTCTCAATCACTTCAATATGTAGAGGGACACTCCAGCTTTAAAACAAGTCATTAGTCTTCAATTTCCATCTAGCCAATTGTATGATATGAATATCCAAAGTAGGCACCATGAACTGTTTTTACACTGAAATAACATATTAGCATTAGGTTCACAAGAATATTGATGCTTACAAACCAGATCATATGAAGGAGAGGCGTGCGAATACTAGTTCGAAGGGTACTTGTTGCTAGTTTCATATATGTATTAAAGAAGTATGGCAAAAGCATGGTCCAAATACATGGATCATAGTAGGCGTGACAAGTCGTGCAACCGGAGCTAATAGAGGGTTTCACAACCATGAAAAAGTGTTGTATCCAGAACATCACCGGCACAACAAACAGTTTACTGAGGCTGAAAAAGAGAGGTTAAGATTGATGAGGAACGCGGGGGTGAGACCAAATCAGCAGAAGACGACACTCAATACTGAAGGGGGTGCGCTCCATGATAGCAAACAGATCTACAACAAAAATTCCAAGACAAGATTGGATGAGATGAGTGAAATGGATGCGATGCAGTTTATGCTTCACGGAGCTGAACAATGTGGGTATCATGTCCGTTTGGATAAGGATGCTAATAATGTGCTCACCAATATGTTTTTTGCCCACCCGACTTCCATTCAGATGTTGCATGCATGGTTGCACGTCATCCTCATCGACTCGACCTACAAGACGAACAGGTACGACATGCCATGGGTTGAGGTTAATGGGGTTACTCCGGTCAAAAAGAATTTCAACATTGCATGTGCCCTTATGAAGAAGGAAACAAAGGAATCATATGAGTGGCTGTTGCGATGTATAAAAGGGTTGCTCGATGGGACGGTTCTGAATGTCATTGTGACAGACAAAGAAGGTGGCCTGCTTGCTTCCGTTCCTGTGGTCTTACCCCTCCCATGTACGGTCCACCTACTATGTTTATGGCACGGCAACAACTGTGTGAAGAAAAAGTTTGAGATCCTACTTGGTGGAATTTCACAAAGAGAGGTAGCACAAGCAGTATGGCAAAAACATTTTGAGAAAGCTGCATTGAGTTGGACGAGGGTCGATTTTCTTTAAAAGATTAATGAGTTTGAGAGGATCTGGTCGGTTAAGAACAAAAAACAGGTCGACTACGTGCGAGGTGAGTGGTTGCCTCATCAGACAATGTGGGCAAAGTGCTATACAAACCATGTGTTCCATCTTGGTAACATGAGCTCGAATAGAGTTGAGTCATCTCACTCTTCCTTCAAGACTTTCCTTGTATCTGGTAGAGCAGAGATAAACACTTGTTTTGCGAAGAACCACAACTACATTGAACATCAGTTTGTGGAAATGGTGAATGAACTGCAAAAGTCACTCAACCGCAATTTGAGTAGGGCAATTGTGCCTACGCGTACGTTTTGTAGGAGGATCGTCGGTTGTGACGCAATCAAAATGATGTTAGATGGTGCAACGGAGTTGGTGGACAGTTGTGGCCTGTGGGTGTCATTTTCAGACGACACATGGGCTCAAGTGTGCTTGCCAGGTTGTTGGAGCTAAGGAAGAAGGACGCCAGTTCTATGCTCATGAGTTGAATGTATTCTGGCAAAATTTGGATTATAAAAAGCCCCCGTTGCAACAAAAAATCAGTGATGAAATTGAGCTTCAACGACAACATTTTAGGCAACTCACCGTTGAGGTGGAAGAGAGAGGTCCTGAAGTAGTGAGACAAGCAAGAGATGCCATATTTTATGGGCTTCACCCAGCAGAGGACAATGTGAGGGAACCAGAAGTGAATGAGACTATGAGAGGGCGGCCTCGAACAAGCACCAGCCGCATTCGTTCATATTATGAGAGATCGAGGTCTCGTTCGATGAGCACGGGTCTCGAGTCGACTAGAGGCAGGTCCCGATGGAGTGGAGGCAGATCCCGATCGAGTGGAGGTGAATCCGACGAGCACGATACAGGTGAGTTTCAACTCTAAAAGTTTTAAAATTGTAGACAACTATTAGTTAATTTTGTCCAATTATTAGTAGCTGGTTTATATATTATAGACAACTATTAGTTAATTTTTGTCCAATTATTAGTAACTGGTTTAGACAACTATTAATGGTCGTTTGTTTTAATATTGTAGATTACTCATCCCATAGCCCCCAAAGGCAATATTCTTACCCTCTCATCGAGCATCTTCATCCAGAGTTTGTTCGGCCTTTATTGGTAGGCTATTTCAACCCTAGTCCAGACGGCAATTGTGGTTTTAGGGCACTCTCTCATTGTATAATGGGGGACGATAGTCACTATCTGCTAATGAGATTGGATATTATCCAAGAAATCCAACGGAATTACTGGAAGTATGAGAACTTGTATAATGGTGGTACAACACGTCACATTCAACGCATCAAGTGGTTCGGATCGGGTTATTCACCAATGGGCGTTGGATAAATTCTGAGGACTTGTTCGTGTTTGCAACCAGATACAACATCGCAGTCATTGTCTTCTCTTACCAGTCTTTCGATGCCCATAATCTAGACACTCCACTGCCCAACTTGTTCACTGATGCCTACACTGTGTTGCCTATTGATGCGGATCCTGGTTCGTAACCATCAACCATGTTCTTAACATTGTATTACGTGAATAACCAGTACATTTGATTGTACTTCAACATGGATCAGTTTCCCATACCTCCTCTGCATCCACTATGGTAGGGGCTAGCAAAGCCCAATGTGGCGGGGTGGGAAATTAGTCTTCGAGCTGGACAAGATTTGTGGGGGACTATTGGTGGTCTCCAACGAGCCAGGCAGAGAGACCCCCGTAGGGGTAGAGGTAAGGGTAGGGGCAATGCATAGTGTTGTCATGTCCGTCTTTGTATGTTGTTATTCTAGTTGTATTTTGAATGTTGTATTTTATCACCACTACACTTCTTTGTGTCTTGGTGATGACGCTATCTTCAATCTAGTTGTTGTATTTTAATATTGCAGTCTTCAATTTGTAAACACCGCGTTGATGCTCCAGCCACTCCTCCTCGGTCCCTGCAGCGGCACGAACTGCAGGTGCAAAAGTGTACAGAAGGTCACGAGCACGCTGCAACAACAAAAAAGAAACACAATTGTTAGTTTCACAAATAGTTAACTTATATTGCTACAAATTGAAATGTTCAAGACGCAAATCTTACCGTTTCAGAGATAACAAAATCGGGATCGCCATCATCAGGGAGGCATCTAATGTGTGAGTGGTCGATGTACCAGTCAAGATAGTCGGGCGTCGTCTCGTATGGATACGTCCTCCAAGGCTGAGAGTACATGTCTATGTGAATCATGTGGGACAACAGGGCATCCCATGCTGCATCAAAAATCTCAAGAATGTGAATCACATATCCTGCAGGTGCCGCTGGTCGATCTGCTTGTTGGAGGCAACGAAGCTGGCCTCGAAGGCGAAGGTGGTATCATCTGCCGGTATCCAAACTGTCGGAGGCAACAGGTTGGATCATAAAACTCGCCTACCTCGGCAAACCGGATCACTCTAGTGTACAAAGACTGACGATGTACCAGATGAGGCTGTTGATGGAAAGATCTCCAACACACCTCAGCAGGGGTCAAGCTATCAAGAGAGCGACGGTAGTACGCTAACCTCACATTAGGATCAGCCGCAGTACCTGGTGTCGGCAACCCAATCCATCGTGAAGCCCACGACTCATCTTGTCCGCAAACTACTGACTCGAAGTGCGATGGCCTGAGACTCAGAAAGTACTCATAGATCCAATACTGCAGAAGTGTGAGACAACCAGCCATCCCCCTAGCACCAGCCCGAGACCCCTCACCAAGCTGTCTATACAACCAAGCAAGTGTCCCTGACGCCCAACTGTAGTCAGCTACCTGCTCAATGGGATCCAAAAAGAGGTCCACCCCCAACCGAACCTTGTCTCCGCTCTTGTCTAGAAACAGAGTGGACCCCAACAGCGTCAACATGTACGCCTGCGCCACTGTGGAAGTTGTCACGTGCACCTGCAAGTATCTGCACGCCAGCTCTGCAAGAAACCCACCCTTAACGTACCACTTACCCCTCGTAGCACAACCAAGGGCCTCCGACCTACTATTCAACTGCTATTTGTTCATCCTAAAGAGATAACACAAACTCAACTCTTTCTGGTCTAACCTATCTCGACTCATGCCCATCAGTCGTCCCTCAGTAGGAATCTGCAGTAGGTACTCAACATCGTGGAGGAGGATCGTCATCTCTCCAAAAGGGAAGTGAAAGGTGTTCGTGTCTGGGTGCCACCTCTCCACAAAAGCTGAAATCAAAGCATCATTAATCGATATCTTGCGAAACATGCAATATATCAGATGATGAAGAATGTCTGATGAACCCTATCATCCGCCTCATCATGCGTAAAACGGTAGCACTACAGATATTCAACTGAAGAACTATGGCTGTAGCAAGTGATGATCCCTTGGCCTCCAGCGCCCGTCCAAAGATTATAACCAGTGTGGCCACGAAAGCTCCTAATGAGGCTAAGATCCTTAGGTCCACCAGGACACTCACCAACAAGCTCCCACGGTCGAGGATCACTCGACTGTCCTCTCCTACTCTATCCAGTCCTGGAGACTCTCTGAATCGTCCCGAGCAGGTGGTACGAACCGCCCACCTCGATCCCTATACATAGCCGGATGTGGAGGAGGGACCTGGAGATCCTCATCTAAATCGTACTCAATGGAGTCAACAACAAAATCCTCTAAAAACACCCTCGATGCAGTACCCTGTTTCCTCCCATGTGAACCAGTCACCATCGTAGGAGCAACTACACCTTGACCCTCTAACTCCTCCTCCCCTCCATCTGGCTATGACTGATGTGCGATCTGTCAACCGCGCTTCTTCTCTTTATTCTTCTGGAGCACATTCCTTCTTGTTGATGAATCAACATTCCTACCATCGAATATAGGCAACTCACTCAAACCCGCATCCATATCTAATTATCTACCAATTTACACAATATCATATGTAGGTGCGCACTAATATTCTCGAGTAACTATATCATTACAAAATTTTGAATGATTCATTAAAAACTCTTGATAATTACACATCAACTAATTAATTAACACTAATTGTTAAATCGTTCATCAATTAATTAATTTTTTATTAACTAATTTAATCAACACTAATTGTTAAATCATACACCAATTAATTAATTTTCTATTAACTAATTTCACTAACACTAATTGTTAAATCGTTCACCAATTAATTAATTTTCTATTAATTAATTTAATTAATTAAACCAAATTAAATGAATATAACTAATTAACTATTTATTAAATAATTAATTACTTAACTAAATTAAATAAAACACTAATTAATCAGCTTAATAATGTAAAAAAAAATAAAAAAAGTCAGCGACCGACAAATTTTTCCGGCAGCAGCGACGTCGGACCGGAGGGATTTTCCTGCCAGGAGGTCGTCGGGCCGAAGGGATTTTTCGGCCTGAGTGTCGCTGAGCTGAAGAGCCTCATCGACGCCGAAAGAAAAATCTCGGCCGGCTGGGACGACGTCGGGCCGAAGGGATTTTCCGGCCTGAACGTCGCCGAGCCGAAGGAATCTTTCGGTTAGGACGTCTCCGAGCTGGGAAAACCCTTTGGCTCGGTGACGCTCAGGCCGATAAATCCCTTCGGCCCGCACCCACTAGGGGTGGGCAACGGGACAGGACGGGGTACCCGTCCCGTTTGAAACGGGTACCCATTCCCATTTGGAGAGAAAACTCCATCCCATATCCCAACCCGTACGGGTTAACGGGTACCCATTACCCGTACGGGACGGATAACGGGTACCCACGGGTACCCATATTTCATTAAATCATTGAAGTGTTGCTACTGCAGACCAGGTGGTCAATCAACAAATTAAAGGAACTGATGCTTTTGTGCATCAAAGGGGTAAATAATTTAAGGAAGACTTATATGGAACCTTAACAGTAACCACCAACCATAGAGTAGTGAGATGGGAAGTGTCAACCTTGAGCCAAATGTTGTGAATATATGGGCCAGTTCTAATAGATATATATATATATATCGAGGCTCACTAGTAGAGAGAAGGATGAATGCAATGCTGGACAAGAAAGATACCAGACTCTGTAATATTTAATCCACCATTCTACTCCTACTACTATTACAACCAAAAATCAATGGAACTAAGTCTCAATTTGAACCAGGGCGTGCAGCTCTAGCAAGGGGGAACCTTGTTCTGAAGCTCACAGTGACAGATGGGAGTGGGATCTCGATGATGATTGGGAAGTTGATGGGTAGTACGGGTACCCGTAATATCCAAACGGGTATTAACGGGTAACCCGCGGGTACCCATTGTAAAACTTCTTGATCCCAAATCCCATCCCATAAAAAAGTTACGGGTATTTGGGTACCCGTAACCCTAAAAAAATGGGATGGGTACGGGTATTCCCAAATACCCGTTTCCCGTTGCCCACCCCTAGCACCCACTTTCGCCGGAAACTTGAAAATTTGACGGAATTTGAAAACTGACCTGTTTTCCAATGATCGGCGACGACGAAAATTGGCCACGATGGAACAACAGTGCCGGCGACGGAGGCACTGGGCTCGACGACGGACGTTTTTATCGTAAATGTTAATGGAAGTTCTGTTACGTCAAATTTATAGAATGATAACGGGAAAATTCAAATTTTAATTTTTTAGTTGGCGGCAAATACCCGTTCACTAATAATAATATCACTAATCTTAAATCTAAATATATATATATATAACCTTAAATAAATGTCCACCTAGAAAGCTTGATAGGGAGACAGGGAATTGTTTGGTTGCTTGCTTGACAAGCTCTTCTCTTCAGTCTTCACTTGCGGGAGTGGGTTGGGTCAATAATAGAGCCGAAAGTCAAAAGTCAAGCCCAAATTTGCTTTGGACGCAAGACACTCAGGTAGGTGGGACCAGGTGGGGCCCATGTGTTGTAACCAGATCCATTGTTGACGGACAAGGATCCAGCAGAAATACCTGGAATCTGGGTAGTCTCAATTTCTTTCCTTCTTTCGGGTGACATTAAGGATGAAAATCCAACTTAATTGGTGAACACAAATTCCTGCCAAAACCTACCTAAAAATTTACCTGCATGCATCTATCAGTTAAATTAATAAGCAACCAGCTGTGATACTCCATCACCGATGGCTCGTTACTATGACCATCGGGGTCAACCGTTGCAGGAGGTGCTCTTCTTGACGGGCAGGGTCGCTTGTTAGGTACTTTCTCAATGAATCTGGAGAGATGTACGATCACTCGTGCGGAGTTATGGGGCGCACTACAGGGACTCCAGTCTGCATGGGATGCAGGCTACAAAAAAGTCGAGGTTCAGCTCGACTCGACGACAACTGATCACCTTCTATCACCCACGTGTCCGACTAATCATCAGCATGCCAATCTGGTTCTTGCTTTTCGGGAACTACAGAGCAGGGACTGGGAAGTGAGAGTGCAACATATTTACAAAGAGGCGAACTTCCTAGCCGATTGTTTAGCTCATAAGGGTCACCCGGTAGATCCTGGCTCTATTAGTACTTGCTTTTCCAATCCCGACATTGATCGTTGTCTCTTGTACAATTCGGTTGACGGATTTATTGTCTGTTCGATTTAGTAATCTGAGGTAATAGTGCTTGCACCCTTTAAAAAAAATCATTTTGAGAGGAAGACAACTAGTGATGGCAATGGGGCAGGGCGGCGCGGGTACCTCAATTCCCATGCCCCGCCCCACGCTACTACAGGTAGGGGCGGGTAAAACCCGCGCGGATACGGCGCGGAGCGGGTCGACCCACTCTTACATGTTGTTCAAATAAAATACAAGTAAATTTTACTTTTTACAATAAAACGTAGGAAAAACACTTTAAGAATGAAAAATATTGATAATAGAATGGATAATTGAGCCTAACAAGTTGAAAGATCGACTCTAACTAGTTGAAGAAAAGTCAAAATAGGAGAAATATGTATAGATATTGTAAGAAATTGAGATACAATGAGTCTAGAACGGGGCATGGCGGGTCGGAAATAGATACCCATGCCCCGCCCCACGCTACTGTGGATCGAGTAATAGCCGCCCCATTGCGGGTCAAGTCAGATAATACCCACGGGGCGGGTTGAAATTGCCATCACTAAAGACAACTATAATAATATAAAATAGTCGGTATGTGACCTCAAACTAATCAAACTATCTCAATTGTTACTTTGTTAGATATGTATCGTACACAACTATTAATGAAAATAAAATAACATTTATTTAGCGATACATATACTTGAGATAATTCGACAGCTTGCTCTAATCTTATGAGGTTGTCAATGACTGAGCACTAACCTGATCAAACTATCACCCAACGTAACTGCTTCCAAATTTCTGCAATAACTAGCAAACTCTTGAGCTAGAGCTGAAGTGATGGAGATCAGAAGGTTGAGGGGTTTGCCAAAAGCTTATGAGATGCCTGCCCAATGTAATGAATTAGTTAAATAACATATATAGATCTCTTCCAACAACTCGGCTTATTGGAACCAGTTATTTATGACATTTCAAATGCGGCCGGTGTAAAGTACAACTGCCAATTATGTAAGGGTGCCAGTTCGATTTCCGGTTAGCGGCTAATCGGCCGGTTCAACCGATAACCGCCGGTTAGTAGCTAACCGAAACCGATGATTATTTACCTCGGTTGGTGTTCGGTGGAATAAAGGTGGTTATCGTCTAGCCGAGTAATCGAGGATGATTAACCGCGGTTACTCGACTAACCGAACATAACCGACTAGCCATCCTTTTAATAAAACGTTGTCGTTCACCATCAATGAAAACGACCCCTTCCTTCAGCCAAACCCCAACCCTAATTCTTTCTTCTTCGTACTCCTCCAAAGCGCAACCCAGCCGGCAGCAAGCCATCCAAACCCTTCGATTCTCTGCATTATGTTCGCCCTCCGCCATCCAAACCCCAGCCACCCTCCCCGCCCTCCCCAACGACCGGGCACCGCGAGCCAGAGCCAGAGATAGTGGCGTTTCTCCTCGCCGATTCCACTCCGACATCGCCATCTCCCATCCCCGACGACCCCAGGCCTCCGCGTGTCTCCCATCGCCATCCACGCCTTCCTTTTCCTCCCCATTTTTGCCTCTCCTGTGCTGGGGATGTCTCCCTTCGCTCTCCTCCGTGGCCATCGTTGTGCCTCTGCTTCTCCTCCGCGACCTGCCGTCGTCGTGTCTAAACCTG